AATGGAAACTTGGCTAAGCAATGATAATGGAATGGCCATAAGAGTTATGTTTTATTATCATTACAAAGACTATATATACCAAGAGGTAGGCCTAATTTTAAAATTGGTCCTGTCACTTTCCAAAAAACCCACCCCGATATTGACCACTTTTAAACTTGGTCTTATAATATTGAAAGAATAATAACCTTGGCATCTTCCACACAAGAATTGAAGATCCAAGGAAGGTGAGAGGGAAGGTCCATCAACCATCTAACTAACTGTAAGGAGGCCTGCTTCCACAAGATTTGCAATGGTATCCCAAGAAGTCGTTAGAACCTCGCCGGAGAAACAATACACGGTTGTTGGCGAGATCAAAGGTCAAGGCACAAGAAAAAACTCATGCAAGCATTAAAGAACACGATCTTGCTTGGTGTTGTTAAATTGACAACTTTATATTTCTTATGTTATTCTATTGCCTAAATAAAAGATTACAATGAAACAAATTATGGTCTTACAATCAAGCTGATATTCACAACTAATCTAGGGAAAGAACTAAGAAAAACGAATAGAGAGGCAGCGACAAGCTTCCAGGACAGTCTCTCGTCTCGGCATGGCATGGATCCCTTAGATCTGACTAATCGGTAACCAATTTGTATTTCCAGTATACCTTGTTACGTGCCAACTTATTGTTTGGAGTTCTTAGATCTAGGTTGTGATTTGTAGTTTTTCTTCATCTGAGTTTTTGCCTCTAGCTTTGGACAGGTGAATTCTAGTAGGTTGGTGTTTGTATTTTTTGATTCGTTCTAGTGGTTATTCTTCACCTTGTGAAGTTATTACAACATCTCCAATGGTGAGAATGAATTGTAGTTTAAATAGATGGTCTTCTGTCCACGTGGAATGAATGGGTTGTCATTTGTATAAATAACTCTCTAATGGTCTATTAGTAAATGTCTAGCAAAGGTTTTTTTTTTTCTTTTGTTGTTAAAAAGGGAAAAAAAATCAATAGGGAAATTGTCGAACAAACTTTGAAACTATCTTTAATAACAGCATGAATTCACAAAATTTTCAACAATTATAATCCATTCATTCGTGAATTTCATTGACAGTTTAATAGTGAACATAAACAAAGTACGAACTAAAAGTTATGTTTGCATTGAATATAGTTTCGGATTCCGATCACCCATCAACACAAAAGTTTTTGTGTTGAACATAGCTTTGGATTGCTTTTGAATTTGTTGTCACCCATCAACACGCAGTTGATATTCATCATGTATAGAGTTTTTGTAGTGAACTGCTTCAGATTGCTATCACCCATCAACGCAAGAGCTTATATGAATTTGCTATCACCATCAACACGCATGTGGTATTCATTATGTACAAGTGATTACTTTTTAAGAGTAAAGTAAAGCAAAGTTAATGTCCAACGCGCAACACGATAATCTTTTTTTCTTTTTCTTTTCTCTAATTTTTCTTTATTGTATTATGTACTAGTACAAAACTCGTGTATTACACGGGTGCTTGTTAAAAAATTATTCTTAAATTTTAAAATTAATGAGAAAACTATGTTAAATTTAGTTTACTTTTTTTACAAAAAAAATATATTATTATATATTTTAGAATGATGTGTTACTTATGACTTACATGTGTTATATTATATTAGTTTTTATAACCTATATCATATAACTATTTGAAATATAAATATATTAGTTGATAAATAATTTTATTTTTCTAATTAATATAAAAAATAATTTTATTATTCTTATATAAATATAAATTATTTTTTTATGCATACAATATAGATGTTAAATCGAAACTCATCAAAAGAAGATTAATTTGATATATTACATATGTAAAACTGATAAAAAATAAATTTTTAAAATATATATACAATTTAATAGTTATAATAAGGAATGATATGAAAATGCAATTAATACATGTAATATGACCATAAATAATCAACATATTTATGGTACTCCGAACCTAATTATTTTTGGTTTGGAATTAAATTAAAATTTACCCAAGCCTAATAACGAAGCATATAATTTTGCCACATAGGATTCCGAAGCACCAGAAGCAGCCACGTAGGCTCAGCGCGTTCTGGATTAATATATAGGGGAGGGAATGTTAATACGAAATTTTGACAAAACATATACCATTAAATTTATAACATAGTTTTAGAATTGTATCAATTTTTTCATGTAAATTAATATGCTTTTCGATAAAGTGTGTACAAATAAATACTAACAAACTATAATTTAATTAACGACGTAACCTAATTATATATTTTAGTTAAAAATAAAATAAATAAATGAAAGGAGAAAAAGATTTATCACGTCCAGCAGAACTTCCACAGGTAGAAAGAATTCTAGATTTATTGTGTTCTTTCATGTCACATCATCACAAGCGTAAGTAAGAAAAAAAAAAATCACTATTGGAGAAGTTTTTTATCACACCCAATACTATTCTACAATTGACACGCAATTGAAGATGCTCTTAGTCTCCATTATTGGAGTTTTGATTCTGGCTTCATGGGAGTTTGGAAGTAATGTTTGTGGTTTTTTTTATTAGTTTGTAGTAGGAGTTAAGTTCTAGGTTGCTTGCATGCAGTTTTCCTAGATTTAGTTTTTTATGGATGCTTAATTCAGCAGTATTAATTGTTCTTTAATATGCAATTATCTCATTTTTTAATACATCTATCGTTTCGAAAATAAACAGTAAAAAAGCAATCATGATAAAAAATCAATCGTGATTAAATATTTTCCAACAACGACAAAATCAAAGTTTTATTGACTCGCATATTCTTAACTATCAATTATTATATTTATTATTTATTTTTTATCGAATCAACTATAATCATTATATTTTATTTTATATTTATTTACATTTTCAAAAATATTTCATTTTTCCACTGAAAAAAATAAATAAATCCAACTCCTCTTCACCTCAAAACTTTTCACTTCAACAACATTTTTTTTTTTTTTTTTAATTCAAACTTGGCAATACAAACAATTTTTTTTTAAAAGTAATATACATCCAATGGCACTCTTATACTTCTAGTTGTTGTATGTTGTTTTTAAAAGTACCAACATATATTTTATACACTAATGTATTTTCATTCACAAAATATATTAGCCGAAACTGGCAATTCTGAATAAGTTAATTACAGTCCTTCCATGAACAAGACGTATCACAAGTCACAACTATAATGTGTTACATAAACACAACGCCAGGGAATACAAAACAAATAAGCACACAATAAATCTGTCATTTACAAATCACATGATTAGTATTACAACTACTTCACCATGACCCAAGGCTACAGAAATCCCAACACCAAAACATGTAAGGAAAGAACAAAACTCAAGACAAGGGATCTGAAACCGTGACAGAAATAACCGAATTTTCGTGTAATGGTCTAACCCAAAGCATCACATATGGGTCGAGGATCCTCGAGGAAGAACAACATTCAGGTACACCCTACATCATGACAATAAGGATAGGCACAAAAATTATCACGAGAATGATAACCGGTAAGGATTAAGGAAAGGGAAAGGGGAAAGAAACGAAAAAAAATAAAACAATCTTTCAAAAATACAATTCTCTCAACATTATTGATTTGTTTTTAGTTTACTTACTGCAGTGCAAGTTTACTGAGCCTCAAGTGGCTGTTAGTAATAAGTAACACCCTTAAAATCATTTGCAACACGTAAAATATAATTGATTTATTTTATTTTATTTCATTTCGATTTTCTTCTTTTGGTAATGGATTTAAACCGCAAGTTGCAGTTAATCGTGTATATTTCTGTAGAGAGCAGGACATTTGAGTAACTCACCAGCATAACGGACCCAGTTTAAGGGTACCTCGAAGACGATAAAGTAATAATAATGCCCGAGAAGTATGTGTAAGTTCACTGCTTAATCATATCACAATCAAAAGATCATGCTATAGATCCAAGTCATGACGACTTAGAAATTGGATTATACAAGGGTATAATTGTTCTGCAGCCTGCCACACATTATTTAAAAACCATCAAAGCCTGCATAAAAGTTTCTAAAAAAAAATACTCCTAACAAAGAAAAGATAGAAAAAAACGTAAAAATTTATACTTACCATCCGTCCTCCCACCAGGTCGTAGTGAGCATAATGTGGGCCATTAGGTTCACCAAACACTTTATATGTGACCAAATCCTCAGGAATGAGCTTCACAGTTTCTGTTCGACACAATTTGGGAAAAAAA